GCCGTGGGTCCCCTCCTGCCTGCGGGGGCGCGCCGTGCGCGGCCGGGCAGCGGAGGAGGGCGCGCGTGGCCAGGCTGAGCGCCGGACGCGGGCGCGTTCTCCCCGGCTTCCAGGCCGGACAGTGCAGAGGAGCTAGGACTCGAACATCTCTGGCTCCCCGCCTGAGTGCGCCTTGTTCAGTCTTGGAGTGAGAATCTCGGTGACCATCCCTTCAGTGGAAGGTCCGTTTGAAAGTACCCTGGCCGCCGGCCATCTGTCCCGCCCGTGCGCCCACCTCGCCATGTTGGGGGCAGACAGCTCCTTCTTGGCGTTTTCTTCCTAGTTCCGTGTGGTGGAGAGGAGCGCTCTGTGGATCTCAGTGCTCGCTGTGTAAAAGCACAAGGACCTGATCTTTCTTTCTCCTGCCCACGTCGGGGAGCGCAGCAGGTGACCCCGCGTGCATTCTCTTCTCCAGCTCGGCTTGGGTTCCTCCGCGGTCCCCGCGCTGTATCCGGCCCCAAAGCCCTCCTGCTTGGCTGCGCTTCCTTAGCGCTGCAGGGCCCGAGAGCAGCAGCTCTTGATGTGCTTTGAAAAACCTGAAGAGATAACGGACTGAAGTATCACCCGCACTTCTGCTGCTTGGCATCAAGGTTTATTTGCTTTGCAAAGCTCCGTACCGCATAAGGCGCTGAACGAGAGTTACGGCGTTCTTGTGCAATGGAGTTGTCCCTGTTCCTAACGTCAGGAGTTTGTGTTTATGATTGTACGATTTTTTTGGTCTAATGTTCCAAATCCCATGAAACAGGACAGGATGGACAAAGCGCTGTGACATGTCACAGTGGCATTCTGTCTGCACTGTCATTGACCATCTGTCCATCCTTTTTTTCCTTCCAGTGCTCTCTTTCTCTTTTTGAAACATGGTTTGGCCATGCAGTTCAGGCTGGCCTTGAACTCACTTTGTAGCCCAGGCTGGCCTTGAACTCCTGCCTCAACCTCCTGAGTGCTTGTTACGGGCATCTTTACATATGACTGTGCAGTTCTGTTAGATTTAACCTGTTATTATGTAGTCCTTCTTCTTGCACCTCTTAAAAATAATGTCATTAAAAGTGAATATTATTCATGTAGATTTGTGGTATCATTTATGTTTGTCCTTTCTTGCTCCTCCTGTTGTTTTATAATGTTTTTTCAAATTCTAAATTATTCAGAATTAAATTGGCCAAAATGATTTCATGAAGTCTTTGTTTTTTTTTTCTTTCTTGGGGAACTGCTCACAGTTGTACACTGACTGAGCATTTACTGGGCTGGACCCAGCGGGCTTCTGTAACTGTCATTGTTCGTGGTTCTTTTGGTGTCTGCTACTTGGAATCCAAAGCAACTTACGAGAGACATTTCTCTTGACTCTGTTTTCCCAAAGTTTTGGTTCAGCAGCTGTCCATGTGCAGCATTTCCTTTCACTGCTAAAAACTCCAGGATGACATCTTCATTTTTTTCTCAAGATTATGTTACAAAAGTTTTTTTTGTTCCTAGGAAAAATTGAGAGTAATAGTTTTCTTTATTGCTTCCTGTACTTTTTGAGGGGTAACACCTTTAAAGTAAGAGTTTCTTGACTCACACTTATTTTAAACAAAATGAAACATCCGTACCTCTCCAGGCAGATGAAACCTTCAGACCCCTCTAGTTTTGCCCCCTGTCAAACTGTCCAGGGTGGCTGCCAGTGTGGGCTGCACTATGCGGCCCATTCTCTCTCCTTTCATCTGCAGTTTCTGACAGAATTCACACTCAGGATTATTGCATTGCACCTAGCCAGTCTTTCTGTTTATTTTTTGAGGCAGGGTCTTACTATGCAGTGCAGGGTGGCCTGGAACTCACTCATGTAGCCCAGGCTGGCCTCAAACTCAGAGCTATCCTCCTGCCTCAGCCTTCTGAGTGCTAGGATTATAGGCATGTGCCATCACACCTGGCCAGTCTTCCTGTTTCTATCAGGTCATTTTCAGAAAATTTTACCCAGCACTCTTAACCAGGGCTTGATCATGAAACCCACAGCAGACCCATGGGATCTGTCAGGAATTTGAATCTTGGGAGCCACCTCAGTGGCAGTTTCCTGGGCAGCTCAGTGGTGCTTTCTGGATCTCTGAAGTGACTTAGGTCCCGCATGTCTGATTGCTTGGCTTTTCCTTTTATTCTTTTTTGTTGTTGTTGTTGTTGTTTTTTCCAGTACCGGGAATCGAACTCACGACCTTGTGCTTGCCAGGCAGGCGCTGTGCCGCTGAGCTAAATCCCCAGCCCCTCCTTTTATTCTTTATGTTTCTCTCTATTGTTAGATTTGCTGCCTTCTCTCTTTTTTAAATAGTCTTATAGTTTGAGAATCTTACTTCAGTTTTGATTCCCATCCCAACAAGCGTGGGTTCCTCCTGCTTCTGTTCCTTTGTCAGTGATACTAGGAGCTTGCCGCGTCCAGTGCAGCTCTCGAGAAACTCCTTGAGGGAGACTGTGAAGAAATGAAGGCAGAAGTGGAAATGCAGAAAGCTGAGGTCAGATGGAGCTCTCTCTCTCGGTAGAGAAAAGAACCACCCAACGACTGCAGCACATTTTATGTATACGCTCGGCAGGTTGATGTCAGGCGATGCCCTGTGCAGACCAGCTAGCACACCTCTCATGCCCTGCCTCAGGCCTCTGGCTGAAAAAGGTTGTTCATGTGGCTCGCTTCAGGCGCTCTGTGTTCTTGGGGCTGGCCTTGCTTTAGCCCTGCACATGTGATCCATCTCCAGCTTGAGCCACTCCCCGCAGGAACTCTGTCCTGTGTTTGGGGCAGCACCCCATGGTATGAATAGCCACAGTGTGCTTATACCTCCTTCCATGGGAGACACTGGGTTTGTTTTCCATTTGGTGATAATTAGGCATAAACCTGCTGTGAATACTCTTGTACAAGGCTTTTTGTGGACAGAAGTGCTTTTCTGGTGTACACATGTGGGTGGGATTGCTGATACAGTATAGATGTACGTTTAACTTTACTGTGTACTGCCAAGCAGTTTTCTTAAGTGCTTGATCAGTTTATGAAGCACAACAATGTATAGAAGTACTAATTGCTCTAAACTCTTGCCAGTAGTTGGTACTGACCAGGCCTGTTTAATTCTAGATGTTCTGGTAGGTGGGTAGTATAAATAGTGCATGTTGTTGGGATATTTAATTTATAATAGTAGCAAGGTTTTCAAAGGGCCTGTGAAGACTGGGAAAGTAATCTGCAGAGAAAATGAGTAAAACAGTTTGTTTCTGAGGAATAGAGATTTGAGCTATAACATCCACATGACTAATGAAATATCTAAGGACCAAACAGAGTCCTGAAGCAGTCCTTTCTCTCCTGATCCTACCAGGGAAGCTCCCAAAGCCCCAGTTAACAGCTGTGTCACTGGGTTTTTCTCTTTCTCTGATTCTGAAATGTAAAGGAAACAGTGTAGTTTCCGTTACTTCCAGATAGAAAAGCAGGTGGGCTGATGGGTTGCTGGGGACAGCTCATTTGCACCAGCTCAGTGTGGCCTCCTCTTCCTCCTCTAGGTCTGTCCTCTGCCGATGCTGCCCTTCTCCAAGGGGGATGTCCCCTCTTCCCAGTGGCCGGTTTTCAGGTGAGTTGAGCTTTCCTGAAACGCTGTGTTGCCTCAGTTGTAGCACATATTTGCTGTGGGGAATGTGTATCGCCAAACCGATGCTGATGGTTTATTCAGCTCTCGATGCCCGAGGTCTTGTTCCCAGCGTGGCCCCTCAGCCGTTCCCATTCACCCATCCTTGGCATCGTGCTGTGCCACAGGGATGGCAGAGCGGGATGCGGTTCTTCACCACCTAGGCCAGACTAACTGCTAACACCAAAGCAGGTGACTAGCGAAAAGGTGAGAGGAGTGCTGTGGGAATGAGGGCTGGAAAACGTGATCTGGAGGGTTTGGCGATCTTCATGGAGGACAGGGGGTTTGTGTGCCGCTCAGGATGGAAGACATTTGGGTGTCTGGATGAGTCAGGTGGCGTGGACTCGCGTGGAGAAGACGAGCAGTGGAGGTTCGCAGCCAGCACGCGCAAGAGGCCACGCAGGGCCGGGGGTGGAGCTCAGTGGCACAGCGCCTGCCTGACAAGCGCAAGGTCCTGAGTTCAATTCCTGGAACCAAAAAAAAAAAGAGGCCACACAGCCCAGGAAGACTCGACAGAGACGGCTGATCGCAGCGTGGAAGCTTCGTAGGTCTGGTGGGGAAGTGGAAGGCTCTCCTGTGTGGGCCACTTGTGAGCCAGTAAGCGTTTGTATTGGAAACTGGCCAATAATCTCAGAAAAGTGGTTAACTGTTGGAGAGCTTAGACAAGAAAGGTAGGAATCGCTCCCCTGGTCATAGTCAACCTCAGCCCTCCTTTTTAGTCTTTTGCCTTCTTCTTTCCTATTCCACAGCTTCAGTTTCCACAGAAGAAACTCAATTCTTTCTGTTGCTTTGAGCTCAAGCGCTTTTAATAGTGCTTTGTTTTTTATCGAGGTGTGCATTAGTCAGGGCTTATGAGAGCTTGCAGGGCTGGGGGAAGGCTCCTCAAAAGACTGTTCTGGAGCAGATTAAATGCAGGACACAGAAATTTACAAGGCTGGCCTACAGTGGCCACCCACGGAGGGAGTCAAACAGAAGAGTGCAAAAGATCTGTGCAGGCACTGGAGATCCCAAGGATCTAGCCAGAGGCCTGGAACCCACAGCAGCGTCCTGTACAAGTCCGTTAGCAGGAGGCCAAGGGATCTGCAATGACAGGCAGAGAGAAGGCTGAAGGGTCTGTCCAGGGGTCTGCATTAGAAGCTGGAGTCCACACAGGCAGCCAGAAGGCCAGTGCTGGACGCTCAGGAGTCTGCGTCTGAAAGCCGGGCGACAACGACCAAGGTGAAGGTGAGGACTGGAGCTCTTCCAAGGAGAACAGGCAAAGCTCCTCTTAGGAAAATCAGATTCAGCAAAGCTCTTCCAAGGGAAATCAGCTGAAATCCTTCCTTCCCGTTCTCCTTTTATACTTTTCTGACAACCATCCTCCTCCAGTGGGTCTTCCACACCCAGAACCACACTGGCTCAGTTCAGCTGGGCATTCCCCACTCCCTGACAGTTAACCACCATGTTATGTACTGCATACAGTAAACCGCCCATGGTTACGGTGTACACAGTTGTCCCTCTGTGTCCTTGAGGGGACACCAAAGTGTGGCTGCTCAAGTCCCGTATGAAATGGCACGGCCTCGTGTATACACTGAATCGTCGCTAGCTTGCTTGTCACACATGGTACTGTAACGCAGTACGGGACTATATTGTCTAGGGAGCAGCCACGAGGAAAATGTGCGCGCTCAGTTCTGTCCACACATCCTGTGAACGTGCCGATCCAGGCTCAGTGGGCCCACTGATGTGGGATCCGCAGCCTCAGGCACCAGCACATTTTGATCAGTTCTGACGTGTGCAGTCAAGATAGAGAATGTACTGTTATGATTTGAATCCTTTCACATTTATTTTTTTTTTCACTTTACCTTGTTTGATGGTGCAGGGACTAGGCAAGTACTATACCACGGAGCCACTGTAGCCCCTTTGTACATTTTTATGTGGTTCTGTGTCTCTTCGTGTTGTAATACTACCTCTAAACTTCAAGCTTATACGACTTTCTGTCTGTCTTTTATTTTACTTAGTTTTAGCTTTTTCTTTCAAATGTAACCTTTAAGTCAACAGGAATTTTTGTGTATGTCATGAAGACCTCACCTTAATTTTTTCTTTTTTGCAAAGAGTCATTTCTTTCTTTTTTTTTTTTTCCGGTACCGGGAATCGAACTCACAACCTCATGCTTGCCAGGCAGGCACTGTGCCGCTGAGCTAAATCCCTAGCCCAAGAGTCATTTCTTACGACACAATTTGGTGATGACCCATTGTATCTTAATTAAGTTGGAAATTGCTTAATGCCTTTCACCTTCCAGAAGCAGAGCCTGAGTGTGAACCCCTACAGTATTTTAGAGAGTTTTATTCCATGACAGGGCATTCTGCTTTAATCTCTGCATTTTTTGGTATATTTTGAGACAGGTCCCCTTGCCCCTTCCATTCCTTTGTAGGCTGTGGTGGTACAGTGCCACTGATGAAAGTGGTTAACCACCATTACCACGAGGTGTCCTCGGACACAGCACTGGCCACGCTGTTCTGCCTACATGGCCAGTGCTGCCTGAGCACGGTCGTGCTGGATGAAGCCTACGTCCACTCTCCACACCGAGTGTTCCCCTTTGAATATCAGCACTTCCTATGGGTGAGGTGCTGCTGTGAATCTTGTGCAGAGGAGGACTCGTGACCTCAGTTTGTAGATCTACATCATGTAGCCTGCCTCACTTGGGTCAATGTTGCTGCCTTTGCCCCTCTCCCAGGGCCCAGCAGAAATGTGCTTGGTGTTTCAGGAATCCGTGACCTTCAAGGACGTGGTAGTGGACTTCACGCAGGAAGAATGGAAGCAGCTGGACCCTGGACAGAGAGATCTGTTCAGGGATGTGACGCTGGAGAACTACACACATTTGGTCTCTATAGGTAAGGACGCCCGAGTGAAGGGCGGGGTGTGGGGCAAGAGGTGCTCCTTGGGCTTAGATGTATTTTGTCCCTAGGAACCAGCAGTTTTTAAATTTTGAGATTTGGAAATAGTTTCTAGTTTTCTCACAGGCAGGGAAACAAACTCACACTTCTCCGGAGCTGAGTGAGATCCCAGCTCACGATGCCCTGCGTGCAGGGAGGTGGCAGCACCGGCACGTTCCTCTCCCGGCACTTGGCCCGTGCTGGTTTCCTTCACAGAGGCAGATGGGATTGAGTTCTGATGGGGCCCTTGCCACAGACGTGTTGTTTTTCCTCCCTTGAGCAGGACTGCAAGTTTCCAAACCTGATGTGATTTCCCAGTTAGAGCAAGGGACTGAGCCGTGGACCGTGGAGCCCGGCATCACCCTGGGTGCCTGTGGAGGTGAGTTGTGGGCAGGGGGTGCCGCTCATGAATGCCAGCTGCCAGCTGGCAGGGGTTTCCCAGCAGAAATGTAGACAGGCACATCTCTCCACAGCATCTGCTGTGCAGCACTGGGAAGACTTCCAGACGTGCAGGTTTGTTATCTTGCTGACTCTCAAGTGTGTATTCTGTTTCTACATTCATTCATTCATTTATTTATTTATTTTGCTGGGGGTGGGTACTTGGAATTGAACTGAGGACCTCATGCTTGCCCAGGCAGGCGATGTGCTGCTGAGCTGCATCCCGGGCCCCTCCACTTTCCTTCCAGAGCAAGTGCCCTCCCCGTCTTTCCGAGCCAGCTTCCTGCCTGGGCTCCTGTTTAGCTCTTCCCTCTGCTGCCGGGACCTTGGCCCCATAGTGAGCCCTTGGGTTTCAGCTCTTACAGTTTTCTCTTCAACCTCTCCACTCTGTCCCTGCACCCTTCAAACAGAAATACACTGTCTGTGTCTCCAGGTGCTTTTGCTCAACACCGCTGACCTTGCCCCCACCCGGTCTCTCTTTCCCAACCAAACTGAACGAAAGTGAGCTCACTAGCAGTAGCTTTCGTTTTGTTGTTGTCCTTAATTCAGGTGTAGCTTCTGATTCTATCACTTTGCCATCCTTGTGGTTCAACTTATGAGGACCTTTCTTCTGAATTGTGCTGACTGCACAAAGTCAGCTCTTCAGGGAGCAGACCCTGGAACAGGAGTCACCAGGGGCTCTAGGGGAGGGCTGCATCTCCCGACTTTGTGGGAAATGGGTGCTGTGTTTAAGTTTGAGAAATGCCAGGTAAACTAAAACTAGCTGTTTTCTTACTGGAGTACTCTGACCGCTTGTTGGCCTTTTGTCCAAACTCACATGTGGAGTCCACTCTGCTTTTTTCCCCCATTTTAAGTAGGCATTATGAACCTGCATCAGGGATCACAGGTGGCAGCTGAACTCTTCCCTCCCTCCGCTCTCTCCTACAGTGCCTCCCCCCCTACCCCCCCACGCCGGCTCTCATTCTCTCCTTCCCTCTCTCCCTTTCCTCCCTACCTTTTTCTGTGAAGATTTCTTTAAAAACATGATTTAGAAAACTTGACATTTTTGGGGCTGGGGATTTAGCTCAGCAGCAAAAGCCCCTGCCTGGCAAGCGCAAGGTTGTGAGTTCGGTTCCCTGTACTGGAGAAAAAAACCAAAAAAAAAAAAAAAAAAAGAAAACTTGACATTTTTATTAAGAGTTTTATAAACTGATGTGTACAATTAATTTTTGGAAAAGCAAGTTGTCAAGTTTTATTATAAATCAAAAATGAAGTTTCAAAAAGTTCTAGCTTGACTAGAAACAAAACAATTTTAAAGCATTTAAGAGTTACATTTTTTTTTTTTTTTTTGGTAGCAGGAATCGAATTCAGGACCTTGCACTTGCCAGGCAGGCACTTGTGCCACTGAGCTATCTCCCCGGCCCAATTTTAAAGCATTTAAATGTATACTGAAAAAACTCAGGCCTTCCAACAAACATTTTAGTCACTGCAAAAAAGAGATTCAGTCAGGCAAAAATGATAAGCATCTCACCTTGCATAGGTAAGGTAGATAGTTCAGCTGTCTGGCCTGTGGGCAGAAAGTGAACTCTGGCCTGTGGGCAGAAAGTGAACTCAAGGCATTCAGCTTTGTTCTTTCATTGCTTTTTTTTGGTCTTTTTGAGACAGGGTCTCATTATGCAGTTCAGGCTGATCTTAAACTCACTTTGTAGCCAGGGCTGGCCTCGAACTCACAATGATCCTCCTGCCTCAGCCTCCGAGTGCTGGGATTACAGGCGTGCACCACCACACCCTGCTTTCATTGCTTTTTATTGCTGGAATTTGACCTGATGATGGCTGTCTTGGGAAGTCAGCCCATAGTCCTGCCTCCTTTTATCATTTGGGACAGACTGAGTCAAGTGATGGATTGGCTGCTGTTGTCTCTATAAAACGCCTCATGGTTTGGGGGTGTCTCTGGGCAGCTGATGTGAAGTGGAGCAGCGCCTGTGGCTTGGGCCTCGTCTCTGTCCCAACCCCCACTGTGCTGCCATCTCACCTGGGTTGTCCTCCCACCTGCCCCTCACAGGTGCAGTCCACTGTGCTTATGAGATTCCTGCCTCTCTGGTCCGCTGTGTTCTCTCACAGCCTGCTCTCAGCACCTGCGGCAGCTTCCCCGAACTCTGGGTGCTGGAATGTTCCCGTCAGTGCCCATAGACTTTATGTATGGTAAGGTCAGGGCCATGACCTGAGCAGGAGCGATGGTGTTCAGCGTGGTCTTCTGGAGCTTTCCCAGTTCTTCTTTCTTCTCTCTGGCTGATTCTCTTGGCTTCTGAGTGAGGACACGACTGCCTTCAGGATGTGGTGCTGATCTGCACATGGCGCCTTCTGCTGACACTGCAGTTGGGCTCGGGGTTGGCCAAGTCCACAGCAGCTCCTCCTCTTCCCATCACAGTCTAGGGTCCCTGCTGCTCTGTCTGGCGGGCCCCTGGGAGACCTTCTGGCCTCTGCTGTGCACACGCAGACCTTCCGTGGTGACAGTTGGTGATGAAGACACTGTCATGGCCTGAAGAGCGGCCACTCCAAAGCTTACGTTGTGTGGACCTTGCCCTCTCTGGAGAGGCCGTGCTGCTCCTGTGCCGCGGAGTGGGCGTGGGGCAGGTGGGCAGCTCTGCTGCAGTGGTGGTGATGCTGGCCGTGCTGGCTCTCAGCATGGACAGACCCAGTTCTCTGGTTGGCCGGATCTTTGTTTTCAGTGTAGCGGAAGGAAGTGCCATTTTAAACAGCCTCTGCCAGCCCTGCGTCCTGCCCCTTCCCATCAGCACGCTTGTGTAGGGCAGTGCTGTGGTCCCTGGCTGCTTCCTTGTTACTCTGTCTCTTCTGTTGCTTTGTTGCTCGGTGGTAAACTGCTCCTTTCCGTCCCTCGAGAGTCCTTTCCCCACAGTTCTGTCTCACCTACGTGGCTTTCAGTCTTGTTTTTTTCCTCCCCTGAGCTGGTAATTCCTGTGTTACACTTGAACACACTGGTTGCTCTGCTAGTCAGTATCTTCCACTCTCGCAAACGCTGCTGCAGTCCCGAGCTCCAGTTCTTCCCAGCTGTACGACGCCTTGACTTCACCCAGCCGTCTCCCTCCGTTCAGTCGCTGTCTGCTCTTTACAGTGGCCATCCAGCTGTGACATGCCACTTCCCAGGGTTTCCAGCCAGCCGACAGCCTCGATGCTTAGCCAAGGCTTAGCCTGTGCTGTCTGCACATCCTGGCTCTTGGGTTTTTGTTCGTTATTCATTAGCAGGGAATCTCGGTTCCAACTCAGCCATTTCTGGGTCTCCCTTTCAATAGCTGTCCCCTCAAGTGTAGCTCCCTTACTTGTCCTTAGAGATTATTGAGGAAACTGAGGTAAGCACTCTCTTGCCCGTCGTAGTTTGTTTATTATTATCCTTAGCCCCGCTTCTTTTCCATGTCGTAGAACTGTACCTTTGAAAACACTCAGCATTTCCTGTGGGCTTTAGTTTCATTTTCATTCCCACTAATGCAGTTCTTGCTCCTTGTCCTGAGAACATTGATATTTTATTTTCTTTCAGACTGGGAGCCAAGATTTGAAAATTGTGTGTCACCTCCAGAAGTGAACTTTGCTGAAGGGACACAGCCTTCAGAGGCACTTGTGGAAAAACACGGACAGGAGGATCCTTGGGATCCCAGCATCCTAGGCGCTTGGGAGTCTGAAGGCAGCTTAGGGAGGCAGCAGGCACTGCCCAGAGAAAGATCAAAGGTGACTGAAAAGACGACACCCACGCAGGAGGGAGGCCCTGTGAATACCGAATGCGGGAAAAGCAGCGTGCGCTCACGTACTGTAACACAGCAAGAAATATCCCCAGAGCAGACCTCTGCTAAGGCAGACGTCAAGCAGAATTCACATCCAGTTAAAAAAGAGAAGTCTTGTAAGTGCAGTGAATGTGGTAAAGCTTTTAGCTATTGTTCAGCTCTTATTCGCCATCAGCGGACACATACTGGGGAGAAACCCTACAAATGCAACGAATGTGAAAAGGCTTTCAGCCGAAGCGAAAATCTTATAAACCATCAAAGGATCCATTCTGGAGATAAACCGTACAAGTGTGACCAGTGTGGGAAGGGCTTCATCGAGGGTCCATCTCTTACTCAACATCAGCGAATCCACACTGGAGAAAAACCCTACAAATGTGACGAATGTGGGAAAGCCTTTAGCCAGAGGACCCACCTTGTTCAGCACCAGAGAATCCACACTGGGGAGAAGCCGTACACTTGTAATGAGTGTGGGAAAGCTTTTAGCCAGAGAGGCCACTTTATGGAACATCAGAAAATCCACACAGGAGAAAAGCCTTTTAAATGTGATGAATGTGATAAAACCTTCACCAGGAGTACACACCTTACCCAACACCAAAAAATTCATACTGGTGAGAAAACCTACAAATGCAACGAGTGCGGGAAGGCCTTCAACGGGCCCTCCACATTCATCCGGCACCACATGATTCACACTGGGGAGAAGCCCTACGAGTGCAGCGAGTGTGGGAAAGCCTTCAGCCAGCACTCGAACCTCACTCAGCACCAAAAAACACACACCGGGGAGAAGCCCTATGACTGTGCGGAATGTGGGAAAGCCTTTAGTTACTGGTCGTCCCTGGCCCAGCATCTGAAAATTCATACTGGAGAAAAACCTTATAAATGCAACGAATGTGGAAAGGCCTTCAGCTACTGCTCATCCCTCACCCAGCATCGGAGAATCCACACCCGAGAAAAGCCCTTTGAGTGCAGCGAGTGTGGAAAGGCTTTCAGTTATCTCTCCAACCTGAATCAGCATCAGAAGACACACACCCAGGAGAAAGCCTACGAGTGCAAGGAATGCGGGAAAGCCTTTATTCGGAGTTCATCTCTTGCCAAGCATGAGAGAATCCACACTGGAGAGAAACCCTACCAGTGTCACGAGTGTGGGAAAACCTTTAGCTATGGCTCGTCCCTGATTCAGCATAGGAAGATCCACACCGGGGAGAGGCCGTACAAGTGCAACGAGTGTGGGAGGGCCTTCAACCAGAACATACACCTCACACAGCACAAGAGGATCCACACGGGAGTGAAGCCTTATGCCTGTTCCGCATGTGGGAAGGCCTTCCGGCACTGTTCATCTCTTGCTCAGCACCAGAAGACCCACACAGAAGAAAAACCCTACCAGTGCGGCAAATGTGACAAGACATTCAGCCAGAACTCCCACCTGGCGCAGCACCAGCGGATCCACACCGGAGAGAAGCCCTACAAGTGCGGTGAGTGTGACAGAGCTTTCAGCCGGAGCACGCTCCTGGCAGAACACCAGAGCACCCACATCGGGGAGAAGCCATACAACTGCAGTGCGTGCCAGAAGACCTTCAGCCAGAGCACGCACCTTGCCCAGCACCAGAGGGTCCACTCGGGGGAGAAGCCCTTCGGCTGCGCTGGCTGTGGGAAGGCCTTCCGGTACCGCTCTGCGCTCAGCAAGCACCAGAGGCTGCACCCCGGCATGTGCCTGTCCTAGGGGCTGGAGCAGAGGCCTGAGGAGCAAAGCGGACCAAAAACTGCCGAACATGGTTGACTGTCACTTCACACTAGGAGATGGAGAGTAGTTGGGCTGAACTGATCGTTACTAAAACAACTTTGTGACACAAACCCAACTATTTTACGTGGAATGAAGGATTTGAATAGATGATTTCAAAGGTAGTTTAGTGTTTTATACTCAGTTTTGTACATTTACAATATATTCTTAAATGGTTTTGCTACACAGCGCATTCCGTGTGTTGCATCTGAATGTGTGTCTGTGCATGGTTTGTGCTTTGGGAATGAGGAACCTGCTCTGCTCCTGTTCTCATGCACCTCAGTTGTTTAGGGAACTGATTTGTAATAAAACATTATAAAATACCCTCAAATTGAGTTATGTAATAGCCTAACAACATGAGCATAAAACTGGAGCCAAGTGCAATGACCTGTGCCTGTACTTCCAACCTGGGAGGCTGAGGCAGGAGGATCACTTGAGCCCAGGAGTTTCTGGGCGGTAAAGTGAGACCTTGTCTCAACAAAACAAGACATAAAACCCTTCATAGTATTTCTGCTTTGTATGTTTTTTAACATTCAAGAAGTTTATTACAGCTACAGAGGTCTGCTTCCACAGCTTATGCCAGTGTCATTTAACCCTGGCAGCACATGGTAATTACTTAATGTCTCAGTTTGGGTTGCTGCAACAAATGGCCGTATACTAGACAGGATATAAACAACCAGAATGTATTCTCTGCAGTCCTGGAGGCCAGAAAGTCTAAGGTCTCGGCACTTGCACAGCTGTGCCTGGTGAGGGCTGCTTCCTGCTTTTGCACAGCACCATCTTATGTTTGTGTGGTGGAGACCAGCTCGCTTATTTGTATTTATTTATTTTGTGTGTGTGTGTGTGGTACTGGGGATTGACCCCATAGCCTTCACACTGAGCCACAACCCCCATTTTATATTTTTATTTTGAGACAGGGTCTTGCTAAGTCAGTGAGTTGTCCAGGCTCAAACTGTGATCCTCCTGCCCCAGCCTCCCACGGTGCTGGGCTTACAGGTGTGCACCACTGCTTCAGCTCATGTAATGTAATTTTGAGTGTCACCCTGTTTTGTAATTGGGTTTTCAGAAGCCCTGAGCCCTGGGAGGTTGAAGAACCAGTTGGTTCTTCTCAAGAGTACAAAGCTAAGTCAGAGTGTAAGGTCATGGTCATTCAGTTTCCCATGGCTGCCTCGTGAGAAACGAGTGACAGTGCCTGTGACATCCGGAGAGCGGCAGCACACCATCCGCGTGACCATCAGTGGTGGCCTCACTCGGGAACACACACGGGTTTAGCCAAGTGGTTAGCCCCTCGTGTTTTCAGCAGGCCCAGCCTGGTGACTTCCGTGTCTGCTCTCTGAATACGAGTGATAGTTTCTCAGCCTGACCTCGAGTGCAGAGAGCCCTGAGGACAAGGGCGCACGCGATCAGATGGCTACTTACATGAAGTTTGTCCCCAGATGCATTTAAGGGAGACAGCACTTCAGATTTTTTAGGTGCAATTCTTTTTGGAATTGCTCAGTGACCTGCTTTGGAATTTTGTCACCTCTTCAACTGAAAGTGCCAGGCAGTGAAGAACAGAATTTTGGAAGAAATGTGGCTGTGTATGTCTCGGGACCTTTTTCCATGGTAACTTGAAACATCTATAAAGGTACGTTACCTGGGTATCTCTTAATTTCTCAAGGTGTCTCTCTATGCAGGAGTGAGGGTCGCCTCACTGCACAGAGGGAGGAGGTTTCAGAATTGGTACCACATTACAGGCAGGCTTTGTGGGACCTCTGAACGGCTGCCACGGCCGCCACCACTGCCTACAGAGAAGGGAGGTGCTCATATCCAGAGGAACGGTCCTCTTGTGTCAGAGGAGGGGCCGGGATGCCTGGGAAGACTTGCGCCATTCCCACTCCTGTGTGAAGAAGTAGAACTTAGGTGGAAGTTTGTCATTAACCCTGAAAGATAACACTTCGCTCCACTAATTCTTTATCTCCTCACCAATCCTGTCGGGTCAGACTCGGGACCCGAACTGTGTGATCATCGCATGGCGGCAACCCTGTCATGCTCTGTTTTCCCATGCTTTGAAAACACAGTCCGAGAAAACACATCACTGCTAAGCCGCATCCCCGACCACAGCCTTGCCCAGAGCTGGTGGATGTAACTCACTCTTAAGCATCTGAGCGTACTTGCTGGGCGCCTGAGATGCCCGTAACAACGCCTTACCTCCTCCTGCCCTGTACCTGTCTTGTAAAAGCAGAAAGAGGGAGTGATTCTAAATAACTTCTTACCTAGTCTTTTTTCTTAATTCTTTAGTTTGTATGCCAGAAACATAGTACAATAGTAATAGTTCTTCATATTTATCATACTAAGAATAAAGCAAAATATAAATAAAGGAGGTAGGGGTCAGGGATGTAGCTCAGTGGCACAGTGCCTCCCTGGCAAGCGCAAAGTCCTGAATTTCATTCCTGGTAGCAAAAATAAAGGAGGAGGGGCTGGGGATTTAGCTCAGCGGCAAACAAAAGCGCCTGCCTGGCAAGCACAAGGTCGTGAGTTCGGTTCCCGGTACCGGAGAAAAACCAAAAAAAAAAAAATAGAGGAAATTGGAAGAACTTACACTTAATCCAGAGACATAGAGGGATTCAGGCTTAGAAGTCTTACGTCCATTGACAGCCCCCCCCCGTAAAAATACCTAAAAAATTACAGCTACCTGTTAGGGGGCAAGGAGTTCGCTGCTGTTTATAGAAGACCCTAGTACCTTCATTGATAGTTTCTTTGGATGTTCCAGTGTTCAAGGCTGAGTTTATAGACACCAGACATTTTCCTCCAAGTCTTAGATTGGCAATCTCCTTGACTGCCAGCAGGTTGTAGATGTTGGGCTGCCTGACTAGTTTTCGCCAAGCAGTTGGGTAAGGAAAGCCGGAAAGGGGGACATGACAACTTCTGACGTTTGGCCTTCACATTCAGGTCTTCACTAAAAAATCATTCAGCCACAACCAGTGCCTGAATTTGTTGCAGGAGTAGAGGTTCACAAATAGAAGTATTTCTGCTCTCACAGGACTCACTCCTGTAATAAATGATGTAAAACGCCAAGCGGTGATAAGCAGTGTAGTAAAGCGAGTGAAGGCTGTGCATGGGACCCTACCCCAACAGTTGTGCTTTGGGAGACAGTGGTTGTGAGATGCCTTCTAGTGAAGTATCCTTGGCACGCACAGCTGGAGAAGGTGAGTCGATGGACTGTGTAGGTGCTGGAAGAAGCACCTTCCCGGCAGAGGGCCTGGTAGTCACAAAGGTGCAGCAGCAGGAGCATCTCTGGCAGTTCCAGGAGCACAGGCTGAGTGCAGTGAGCAGCCGGCGAGGCAGCTGGGAGCTGGGCGAGGCAGGCAGCTGGGAGCACCCAAGTGTGGATGATTTATAAAGAAAAGAGGATTGTTTAGCTCATACTTCTGGAGGTTCAAGGGCCCAACTATGATGACTCTGGCTGACAGAGCCCTGAGATGGCACACGGCATCACATGGCAAGAGACAGGGACTGTGTCCATCTTCTGGTCTCTCTTCCTATTTTTTGAAGCCACCAGTGTTCAGCCCCAGAGGGTCCACTCTGGTGACCTCGTCCTCGTCACCTCCCGAGACTCCTACCCCAGACGCCACTGTCATTTACAGTCCCCCCTCAGTCCCTCACACTGGGAGTTAAGTTTCAGCACATAACTTGCATTAATTTCACATTTTCCTTAGTTGTCTTTTCCTTCCACTCCTTTGTTTTCTGACAATAAATTGGTTTTTCCTATGGATTTGACCATAAGAGAAGAATGCAAAGTTTGTTCTATTTCAGTCTTTGTGACAGTTGCAGTTCTTGTTGTTAATAAGTTAGCATTCTGTACTGTACACCAGTCTCAAGTGAGTGTGGTTAATGGGGACCACTTCCTTTGATCTCTGTTTTCTGGCCACACCTAGCTTTAAAATCATGGAATATTGTGCTCAGCGATGACTGCGGCAATGGTCATTACCACTTATTTAATGGCAGCATTTCAACCCACTTATGTGCCGCTCACTCATTTTTGCAGCAATCTAGGAGGAGTATTTTCCCCTGTTTTTCCGTGCATTGAAATGGAAAAGGTGAAGTTACTTCCCTAAGGTCAGTCAGGTGGGACACAGTAGATTCAGCATTCAGCTTCTGTCCTGTTGGCTTGGAAATCTGTGCTCCCTCCTCACCTCAAGGCGGGCCAGTGAATCTACAAAGGTAACGCTGTCCCCTGAGTGCTCCATCAGTGGGGTTTCTTTTTTGTGGGAGGTAGTATGGATTGAACCCACGGTTTTTGCACCAAGATACATCCATAACCTTTTCTTTATTTTGAGCCCAGCTCTTGTTAATCACTATATTGCCCAGGCTGGAGTGGAACTTGCCATCCTCCCGCCCAGAGTGCTGGGGTCACTGTGTGCTGTTGGTGACAAGGACACTCAGTGAAGCCCCTCTTCCACCCTCCAGCATAGTTTTTGTTTTTTGTCTTTTTGAGACAGGGTCTCGCTATGCAGTTCAGGCTGACCTTGAGGTCACTTTGTAGCCGAGGCTGGCCTCGAACTTGCAACGATCCTCCTGCCTCAGCCTCCCGAGTACTGGGGTTACAGGTGTGCACCACCACACCCGGCAGCATAGTTTGGAGCCCCTCTTTGTTGCCCAATATTCTATCTCTATGGCATTTCCTATGTCAAAATGTTCTTTTACGCTCAACATAAGCTTTTTAAAAAAATAATAACCTGTGATGAGACTCATCACCCGCTTTTGTAAATCTAAAGAGCTCTCACTATAGTTATCATCAAGGTGAACTTCACCATTGCATCCATGTGCCAAAGTAACCGGTTAATAAAAAGCAAGCGACTGAGTGTGCACTTAGTAGTGAACATGTTGTAATACACTGTAGCTTTCTGTTTAGATACAGGACCAAGTCTCGTACTACGTGCCATCAATTGACCTTCAGGTTTCTAACTTCTCAGGGAAGTGAGATGGGAAAGCTGCGGGATTGTGAGGTGAGTGTCTAGGACCTTACACTGTGGGTGCTCAGGCAGGCCCTCCATCTCCCACAGAGTCCTGTGAGATCAGAACCAATGAGTCATAAATCAGCTAGACAAAAGTCAGTGAATAAGCAGGTTTTTTTGTTTTGTTTTGTGTTTTTGAGACAGGGTCTCACTATGCAGTTCAGGCTGCCCTTGAGCTCACTTTGTAGCCCAGGCTGGTCTCAAGCTCACAATGATCCTCCTGCCTCAGCCTCCCAAGTGCTGGGATTACAGGCGTGCGCCACCACACCTGGCATAAAGTAGTTTGTTTAAAAATCAATCCATCCACTTTGCCAATTTACCAAAAACTTGCTTA